GTCGAGACCCATGGCATCTTTGTTTGTTTGCACTCGGATATCATCATCTCAGTCCTCCATTGCTCTACTCACTTTTTGGCCTATCTATCAGTAATGATCATGTGGAACTGTCACTACTTTTAGTACATATCTGGATGTGGATGATCACTACAGTGAGTCAGTATTAGCTTACCTTCTAGCTCATGGCCTCTGGACGATACCCAACATGGCTTCCTGTTCTCTCCTATACTTAAAACCTGTCTTGGCCCATAATTCAAAGTTTAAGTCTAACAATCAATACCAGTGTTCGGCAGTCATCACTCTACTTCCTGCAAATTTTCAGATCTCGTTCTTACTGGACTCTCCTGGACATTCTCAGCATTTATTCATCTTTGTAGGTAACGAGCTAACATGAGATCATTTCAGTCACTCCTGACTGTATTAAATAGTCAGTTTCTGCTTGAATCTAGCATACTCACCTTCGCTGACAACAAGAGGCTAATGTTTAAGGCAGAAAACTTCAGTTGGTACCTGCTGAACTGTTGGTGGGTGAGAACCAGCCCTTCCAGTCTGATGGGAAAGCAAACGTCACAACTGGCCACCATGTTCTGAATTTTAAAGTCGAGAAAGCGGGCAGGGAAGCCAAGTTTCTGGACCACTCGGGCGTATTTCCGTGCTGCCAGGCGGGACTGCTCCTCACTGTGGGCGCCCAAGCAAACCAAAGTGTTTTAGGACTTGTTCTCTTAACTTTGAACATTTATGAGGGATTTCCTTTGAGTCAATGCAACTGGTTTTCTTTAGATAGAAAACTTTGAATCAACTTGATGATCTGGTGAACTGTAAAGTGCCTTGAGATGACATGTTGTGAATTGGCGCTATATAAATGAACTGAATTCAATTTATGAGAAACATCTAAAAAAAAAAAGGAAAACATTAATGAACAAATCTGACAACAGTAACTAACAGAGCTGCTGTTCTTCCATCAACTTTCATGGCTAAGAAAAATTATGCTGGTGAAGATTCTCAGTCATCCAGGTCATAGTCATTCAAAAGAAGTTAAAAAAGTTAAAAACAATCCACTGGACTTTGTTTTCCAAGTTTGAATACATTTCGTTTCCCATCCAGGAAGCTTTCTCACTTCAAATGTCTGTAGTAGCGTTGAGTTCCAGGCTTTATAGAGCGGACCACACAAAAGCCTTGTTATGGCTCTGAAAACATGCAAATTGAACCAAAAACACAGGTCCACACCTTAGTAATGGGGACTCGTTGAGGTCACTGTTAGCCTGGAATACCCGATACTAGTCTATGCATCTGAAAATGA